CTGCTGAACCACCTTTATCCTTCTGAGCGGCTGCCTATCGCAAACTGCTGGCAGGGGTGTTGAGAGCAATGCACAGCAGCCCAGCCATCCATGTCGCTGGCTCCCTCTCAGGTTACGGCATTTGGATAAAGCCTGCTAGTCAGATGGGCTGCACAGCTCCAGTGTCCCTCAGCAGAGAATGAAACCCACTCAATAATTCATCCCAGCCCAGCCTACAGGAGCTGGACATACAAGAGCTGTTGAAAACCCTCTCATCCTAAACATGTAGTGGAGGGGGCCAGCAAGCGGAACTGGCAGAGAGAGATATGTCTATTGCAGGGAGATGCTCCAGCAGGCTTCCACAGATCCTGTTACAATGCCACAGACTCTCTTCTTCCCAAACGGAGGGAGACACTTGCTCAAGTGGGTGCCCAACACTTCAAACCATAATGCTCTTACCGTGCTCCATAGCACAGAGACAGAGCTGCTCTCCAACTGAACCACTTTGCTGTTCACAGGGATTTTGAGGAATAGGGAACAAAAGCTGCCTCCTATCAGTACCTATCCATAACTGCAGCAAGATGCCACAACTTCATTTGCTTTAGCAATTGAATCGCACAGAAATGGTGGCATTGAGTTTTCTCCCCCTTGCTGATGGGGGGGGAGTTAGTTACAATTAAAGGTGTCTGTACCATCACCCCTCAATTATAAGGGTGCTAAAGACAGCCTATGCTACATTTCCTAAATAGTTACACACCTACTGATTTTGACTGAGAAGTGGGAGAACCATTCCACTGACTAGGCGACTATACTCAGCAAGCACTCCCCAAGGAACATGGAAAAACAAAGCAGAATCTGACCAGGTGAACAGAAGAAAACCCTGCCCAAGACTCTCTAAACAACTTAGAGGGGAAACTCATCTTGTACACCTAAAGACACGTGTGCAAGTGTAAGTCAATGGTACAGAAGGTGCTGGCAATCAGTAAGCACACAGAAATGCCAGGGTGGCCAGAGTATGAGTGGAGAACCAAACACTTACTTCATCCTTTCTGCGTCCGTCAAGGGCTCCTGTGCAGAGAAGAAAAGAGTTGTAAGATTCTCTCAAGGCATGAGTCACTCGCGCACAGGCATCCAGAGGCAAAATCCAAGGAAATGATCCCCCCGTCCCCCACTTTTTACATATACATCCCTGGGCAGGCCATGTCATGCCTGGTTAAGAAAGCTGGCCTCTGCGCACACTACTTCTTAACCAGGCTGATATCAAGATAGTCCACGTGGTTTATCTCAGGGAAAACATTGCTCTTTGTTAAAGCAAAGGCCAGCAGAGATTGTGTGGCTGCCCTGCCCCAACCTGCAATTTGAAGGACTCCCAAAACCCACACCCCCATGCCTGCTGCCTCATTCCTCTGCAGCCTCACAGCAAGTCTCAGTGAAAATCCCTTAGGCCAGCACACCCTAAAACATCTGAACCATTCACTACCAACTGGTTACAATTGTTTGAGAGCTGGAAAGAACCACTTCCATCAACTTCCCCTGATAATTCTGTACTGATTGTTTCTTGCTACACAGCTGGAGCAGGTCACGCTACAGCCAAATTCCTAGGTACATCTGGACTCCAAACCAGAAGGTGAAGTGCTATATGCCAGCCAGCCTGCTTCCTGGAAGGGCACTGCACCCTGGGAGCAAGCTCTCTGCATTTGTGGGATAATAAGAACTTAGGAGGAACTTCCAATGACCCTTCAGGGCCTTTTTTAAAGCCCTGGTTGTCCTCAGGGAACCCCTGGGACACTGCTGCTTCCTTAAGCTGTTTAATGGGGAATACCAGATGGAGGCCCCAAACCTTGGCTAAGCAAAGCTTCTTT